TTGATTCTCATTACGAACCAATCATTTAGGCTGAGTGATCAGAATAAATTTACCTTCCTTTTTGCCTGGCTGAAGTAATTGCTCCGAATGTAGTGTCTTGACTTGGTGCAATTATGGGGAGTGGGCCTGTGCACACGAGGCTTTGGCCCAGTAAACATTGAAGCCATAGGCTGCTGCTGCTGCTCCACTGTGCTATGGCATTTGCACAGTGGCCAAACAAGGGTGATGATGAAAAGTGGGCCAAATCTACAGCCCAAACTAGCTCTTCCACCACATTGCTATTGCTCCCACAACATTTTTCCTGCCATCACAGTCTGCACCAGCATGGCAGTGCCAATGTAACAGCAGGATTCCAGCTTCAGCCTTGGAGGATACATGTGCACAGGTGGAGAAGATGCTGCTGCAAAGACTTGCCAGGCCATTGACCCATACTGAAGCCCTGCCAATTTGTCTGTGCAACTGTGCAACCGGATCAACTGCTTCCAGATTCACATAGACCATATGCCCATTTTGCCAACGACTCGTTCATCACAATCCCATCGGCAGGGCTTGTTTGGAAGAGAGGAGGATTTTCCGAAGTGCTGCTGAGATGTGGGGCCAGTTCTGTGCATGGTGGATCCTCCTTGTCCTGCTCCTGCTGTCGCCCATGAATGCGCAAGTGCTGCTCGAGTGACTGCTTGTAGCGGAAGCACTTGCTGCACTGCGGGCAGGAATAGGGCGTCTCTCTGGTGTGCATCCGCTGGTGTTCCTGCAAGTACTTCCTGCGGGCAAAGGTCTTGAGGCATTCCGTGCATCGGTGCCGCCTCTCCCCATCGCCGTGGCCAGCCTGGTGGCTCAGCAAAGCCTGTGCATGGCTAAAGGTTTGCCCGCACTCTTGACAAGTGTAGAGCCTGGCTCCGACCTGGTGGACACTATTCTGGTGCTTGGTGAGGTGGTGGGCTCGCACGAAGCGCTTGTCGCACTGGCCGCAGTGGTAGGGCCTCTCCCCGGTGTGGATCCGGTAGTGGTTGGTCAGCTTGGACTTCTCGGCGAAGCGCTTCTCGCATTCAGGACATTGATAGGGCTTCTCGCCCGTGTGGATACGACTATGGTCCTCCAGGTGCTGCTTCCGGATGAAGGTTTTGCTGCATTGTGGGCACCGGAAGGGCCGTGGCCTCTCCCGGTGGGTCTTCTGGTGGACCACCAAGCTGGACCTACGGTGGAAGGCTTTGGGGCACTCGGGACAGTGGTGCGGCCGCTCAGTGTGGACGGCCCGGTGCCGGGAGAGCTGCCCTTCGTGGCTGAAGCCGCAGCCGCACTCGGGGCACACGAAGGCGCTCTCGATCTTCCCTGGTGCGTGGGTCTTCTGGTGGATCTCAAGGCTGGTCTTGAGACGGAAGCTCTTGGGGCAGACGGAGCAGGCGAACGGTGAAGCAGCCGCCTCACTGCCTAAGTCATTCTTATAATCCTCGCAGGCATAAGTCTCTGTTGTTTGCTGGGCCAATGAATCACCATCATCCCCAGATTTTGCTTCTGCGGAATGGATTCGTGAAGGCAAAGTCAACGGATTGTTGAGGTTGTTCGTATAGTCGTTGCAGACGTAAGTCTCTGTTGATTTTTGGGCCAATGACTCGCCACCACTCCCAGATTTTCCTTCTGCAGGATGGATTCGTGGAGGAAAAGCCAACGGATCGCCAAGGCTGTTCTTATAATCCTCGCAGGCATAAGTCTCTGTTGTTTGCTGTGCCAATGAATCACCATCATCCCCAGATTTTGCTTTGGCGGAATGGATTTGTGAAGGCAAAGTCAATGGATTGCTGTGGCCATTCATATAGTCGTTGCAGACGTAAGTCTCTGTTGATTGTTGGGCCAATGATTCGCCACCACTCCCAGATTTTCCTTCTGCAGGATGGATTCGTGGAGGAAAAGCTAACGGATCGCCAAGGCCGTTCTTATAATCCTTGCAGACGTAAGTCTCTGTTGTTTGCTGAGCCAATGAATCACCATCATTCCCAGATTTTGCTTCCGTGGCATGGATCTGTGAAGGCAAAGTCAACGGATGGCTGAGGCCCTTCTGATAATCCTTGCAGACGTAAGTCTCTGTTGTTTGCTGGGCCAATGAATTGCCATTATCTCCAGATCTCGCTTCTGTGGCGTTCATTCGTGGATCGGGATGGATTCTTGGAGGCAAAACGAATGGATCGCCAAGCCCGTTCTTATAATCCTTGCAGACGTAAGTCTCTGTTGTTTGTTGGGCCAATGAATTGCCACCATCTCCATATTCTCTTCCTTCAGAGTGGATCCTCAGAGGCTGCTCGCCAACCGACTCTCCCCGACACTTCACGCACTCAGGTGGGGTTCCTTCAAACCAGGACGTTGACCAAGTCATCTCATGTTGTCTCCGAAAAGGTTCTTCTTGACTGTACTCAAGATGGCAGGTGGTTGATGGACCCTGAGGCCAGCCCTGTCTCTTGCTGTTTGCTCCCGGCTCGGGGACTTGGAAAACGACTCCGCTTGGGATCTCATACAACGTCCTGTGGCCTGAGAAGGTGGGCTTAGGGCCTCCCCGGAGGCTCCGCTCCTCGCTTTTGACTCTCGCCACGTTGTCATCTGGTGGAGGGGATATAAAAGGGGACCCACAAGAGTTAGAGCCGTCCTGCCGGAAGAGGTCCCGAAGAGGAGGCCCAACCCCTTGCAAGCCAGAGACCCTCCTCAATCCCAGCGCACAGCTCTGGACACGAGGGCCCTTGTGTTCTCAGAAACAAGAAACATGGCCGGTATCTCCAAAGTCATTAACTCCGCTCAATATGGAAGGGCTTTGGAAGGAGGCAAGATCTACTCTTTTCTCATATGGTGGCAGGCAATCCATTACAGCATTCATCATTTTTCAATGTAAGTACTTCTGATTCCACAAGACGGAGTTGCTCCCCTTCTGTCTCACACACGCAGCAACAAAAGCACCACAAGTGAATAATATGTGTTTTAAAATAAATCATCTACACTTTATTACATCTGGATTTATGAAGACTCAGGCCACAACGTCCTATACAGTGCTCCCTCGCTACTTCGCGATTCGCTTTTCGCGGACTCGCTGTTTCACGGATTTTTGCCTCACACTTTATGAATGATTGCCATTGCTTAGAGGGGTGTTCTAATCCCGCCTCCTGGCAACGATGGAGTGTGGAAGGGGGGTCAACCCTCCCCCTCGGGAGAGAGGCAGCCCTAAACGGTTGGTCCCCGCCTATCTTTGCGATCGCATCTCCATCTATGAACCGACACAAACTCTAAGATCCTCCAGTGAGGTCCTCCTTTCGCTCCCACCTCCGTCACAAGCATGGTTGGTGGGGAACGAGAGAGAGGGCTGTTGCTCTTGTGTTGTAGTCTGGCAAGCATCAGGGGATTTTTCTGAATGTTCAGAGGATGAGGGGATGATGGGTTTTAAAGTGAGGAGTCTCTGAGTGATTGGAGAGAACTGCAAGCAGACGAGGCTGACGTTTTGGATTCTTCAGCTCGTTCTCAAGCAACAGGGACAAGTGAAAGCACCAGTTTCCTTGAGAAAAGGCCTTGGAAGGACGGGGAGTTTTCCAGGGAGAATAGATTAGACCTGAGAACACAGGGAGTGAAAAACCAGCAAACTCGATATTCTCAGAGGATCTAAGATATGACCCTGAATTCCAGATGTGTTAGGCATGATGTCATGGTTGTCTTGGATGGCTTAAATTAAGTGGTCTCGTTTCAGGCCTTTCAGAGGAGATGTTGCTATAAAGCAGGGGTCTCCAAACTTTTTGAACAAAGGGCTGGGTCACAGTCCTGCAAACTGTTGGAGGGCCGGATTATAATTTGAAAAAAATATATGAATGAATTCCTATGCACTCTGCACATATATTATTTGCAGTGCAACCCCCCCCCCCCAAAATCAAAAAACAAAAACTCACACTTCTATATAAATAAAAATGTCATGCTCATTTGTGGGATGAACAGAACTCAAAAACCACTGGATGAATTGACACCAATTTTGGACACAAGACACCTAACAACCCAATGTATGTCCTTCACACAAAAATTGATTTTGTCATTTGGGAGTTGTAGTTGCTGGGATTTATAGTTCACCTACAATCACAGAGCATTTTGAACTCCACCAACGATGGAATTGAACCAAACTTAGCACACAGAACTCCCATGACCAACAGAAAATACTGTAAGGGTTTGGTGGGCATTGACCTGTTTTAGAGTTGTAGTTCACCTACATTCAGAGATCATTGTGGACTCAAACAATGATGGATCGGGATCAAACTTGGCACAAATACTCAATATACCCAAATGTGAACACTGGTGGAGTTTGGGGAAAATATCTTGTCATTTGGGAGTTGTAGTTGCTGGGATTTATAGTTCACCTACAATCAAAGAGCATTCTGAACCCACCAACGATGGAATTGAACCAAACTTGGCACACAGTTCTCCCATGACCAACAGAAAATACTGGAAGGGTTTGGTGGGCAGTGTCCTTTGGTTTTGGAGTTGTAGTTTACCTGCCTCCATAAATCACTGTGGACTCAATGATAGATCTGGACCAAACTTGGCACTGATACTCAATATGTCCAAATGTGAACACTGGTGGCGTTTGGGGGTTGTATTTGCTGGGATTTATAGTTCAATCAAAGAGCATTCTGAACTCCACCAATGATGGAATTGAACCAGTCTTGGTACACAGAACTCCCATGAACAACAGAAAATACTGGGTTTAGTGGGCATTGTCCTTGAGTTTTGGAGTTCTAGTTCACCTGCACTCACCACGCCGGTGTTCCCTGGTCACGCCCCCCCAGCGTAGTTTGGGGACCCCTGCTATAAAGTATCAGTCTCCTGTTCATGATTCCTGTTCGTGATTCCAAGTTCATGATTCCTTTGACCAAAAAGGCACATAGTATCACAACTGCTCCAATGTAAGGAATGGCGACAATTAAATATGTTAAAAGGGTAATTTAGGAAGTGGAAACCCGTGTCTCTGCAGCACACTCACTCACCAAAGCCAGGAACAGGAGGAACCTCTTTCTCGGGGTCCCACTTCTCTTTGCCGGGGGGCTCTTCTTGCTTGATCCAAGACAAGAGGTCGTCCTTGGAAGCCAGAGGTTCTGGTTCTGCGAGAAGAGACAACCCATAAGCAAGTTTCCAATGGCTGACAAACATTCCCAACTTTGGATTGCTGTGAGTTTTCCGGGCTGTATGGTCATGTTACAGAAGCATTCACTCCTGCTGTTTCGCCCACATCTATGGCAGGAATCCTCAAGAGGTTATGAGGTCTGTTGGGCACAAGGCCAGTGGAGTTTATATATCTGTGGAATGTTGTCCAGGGTTGGAGAAAGTACTCTTATCTACCTGAGGCAAGGGAGAATGTTGCCATTGGCCACCTTCATTAGCAATGAATGGCCTTGCAGCTTCAAAGCCTCGCTGCTTCCTGCCTGGGAGAACCATAGAATCATAGAATTGGAAGAGTTGGAAGAGACCTCCTGGGCCATCCAGTCCAACCCCATTCTGCCAAGAAGCAGGAATATTGCATTCAAAGCACCCCTGACAGATGGCCAGCCAGCCTCTGTTTAAAAGCTTCCAAAGAAGGAGCCTCCACCACACTCCGGGGCAGAGAGTTCCACTGCTGAACGGCTCTCACAGTCAGGAAGTTCTTCCTCGTGTTCAGATGGAATCTCCGCTCCTGTAGTTTGAAGCCATTGTTCCGCATCCTAGTCTCCAAGGAAGCAGAAAACAAGCTTGCTCCCTCCTCTCTGTGGCTTCCTTTCACATATTTATACATGGCTATCATATCTCCTCTCAGCCTTCTCTTCTTCAGTCAGCTTGCTCCCTCCTCCCTGTGGCTTCCTCTCACATATTTATACATGGCTATCATAGCTCCTCTCTGCCTTCTCTTCTTCAGGCTAAACATGCCCAGCTCCTTAAGCCGCTCCTCATAGGGCTTGTTCTCCAGACCTTTTATCATTTTGTTACCTGGCCCTGATTGTTTCCTGTCTGGAATTCCCCGTTTTCTGAGTATTGAAGACTTTCATGGCCAGAATCACTAGGTTGCTGTGAGTTTTCCAGGCTGTCTAGCCATGTTCCAGAAGCATTCTCTCCTGACGTTTCGCCTACATCTATGGCAGGCATCCTCAGAGGTTTTGAAGTCTGTTGGAAACTAGACAAGTGAGGTTTATATATATATGTGGAATAATGTCCTGGGTGGCCATTTCAAAAACTCTAATAATCTCAGGAAAATTGCTCAGTGTTAGATGGGTTTTTTAATCTACCAAATGTTTAATTGTATTTTTTGTTAGTCACTAATTATGTCGATGTTGGTTTTTTAAATTGTTAATAGATATGACTATATTTATGATGGTGCCCCCAGTGGCGCAGTGGGTTAAACCACTGAGCTACTGAATTTGCTGACCAAAAGATTGGTGGTTCGAATCCGGGGAGTGGGGTGAGCTCCGGCTGTCAGCCCAGCTTCTGCCAACCTAGCAGTTCGAAAACATGCAAATGTGAGTAGATCAATAGGTACCGCTCCGCCGGGAAGGTAACGGTGCTCCATGCAGTCATGCCAGCCACGTAACCTTGGAGGTGTCTACGGACAACGCGGGCTCTTCGGCTTAGAAATGGAGATGAGCACCACACCCCAGAGTTGGACACGTCTGGACTTAATGTCAAAGGGAAAAGCTTAGCCTTTTATATTTTTGATAGTGCTGTATACTTTTATTGTGTGTCGTTTTCGCTTTTCATATGTTGTTCGCCGCTTTGAGTTCCGAGCCGGAAGAAACGTGGAATACAAATACGTAAATAATAGTAATAATAATAACTAGCTTTACCCGCCACGCGTTGCTGTGGCCAACCTTCTCTCCCTCTTTCTCTCCTTCTTTCACTCCTTCCTTCATTTCCTTTTCTTCTTTCCTTTCTTCCTTCTCTACCTGTTTACTTCCTTCCTTAGCTTTTTGCTCCCATCCTTCCTTCTCTTTATTTCTTTCCTTCCCTCCCTCTTTCTCTCCTTCTTTCTCTTCTTCCTTTGCTCCGTCTTTCCTCCCTTCCCTTTTTTCTTTCCTTCTCTCCTCCTTCCTTCTCTTCCTCTTTCCTTCCTCCTCCCTTTTTATTTTCCTTCCTCTTTCTCTCCTTTCTTCCCTCTCTATCTCTTTCCTTCCTTCCTTCGCTCTTGACTTCCAGTCTTCCTTTTCTTTCTTTCTTTTCTTCCCTCCCTTTCTCTTCTTCCTTCGCTTTTTCCCTTCCTTCCTTCCTTCCTTCCTTCCTTCCTTTTGACACCTTCCCTTCCCCTTCCCTTTCTTCTTTTTTCTATCTTTCTTTCCTTTCCTCCTTCCTTCCTTTCTCCCTTCTTTCCCATCCTCCTTCTCTCTCTGTATTCTTTCTTTCCTACCTTTCTTCTTTCATATACCTTCTCAACTTCCCTCCCTTCCTTCCTTCTTTTCTTTCTTTCCTTCCTTCCTTTCTCCGTTCGCGCAGCATTCTGGCCCCCAGGCCGCGTTCTAGAACTACAGTTCCCAGAGTGCATTGCTTGTGTACTTCCTCCCCTGGGCACTGCGCATGCTCAGTTGGTTTTTGCAATTGTGAGTTTGTTGAAATGTTGTTTGGAATTTTGATGAGTGTTGTGCATACCTTGTGGGTTGAGGTATGTGCACGGCAAATTTGGTGAGTTTTCGTCGGCGGGTGTTCGCGTTTTGCTGTCCCGTTGAACACCCTTTCCATTTTTATATATATAGATAGGGTTGCTGTAAGTTTTTTGGGCTGTCTGGCTATGTTCTAGAAGCATTCTCTCCTGATGTTTCGCCTGCATCTATCTAATAACCTCAGAGGTTATTGTGTGTTGTATTAGCCTTTTATATATTATATATTGTTCGCCGCTTGGAGTCCGGAAGCAAAGTGGAATAAGAAATAAGTAAACTAATAATAATAATAATAATAATAATAATAGGGTTGTTGTAGACTTTTCAGGCTGTATGGCCATGTTCTAGAAGCATTCTCTCCTGACGTTTCGCCTGCATCTATGGCAGGCATCCTCAGAGATAGTGAGAATCCTTGCCATAGATGCAAGTGAAATGTCAGGAGAGAATGCCTCTAGAACATGGCCATATAGCCTGAAATCACAACCCAGTGATTCCAGCCATGAAAGCCTTCAACAATACGTTGTTGTTGTTGTTGTTGTTATTATTATTATTATTAATAGAACTTCAAAGACTCTGGCACAAGTCAGTAAAGGTGGTCCCAGTGGTGATCGGCACACTGGGTGCTGTGCCTAAACCTCTGAGGATGCCTGCCATAGATGCAGCCGAAACGTCAGGAGAGAATGCTTCTAGAACATGGCCAGACAGCCTGAAAAACCTACAACAACCCAGTGATTCTGGCCATGAAAGCTTTCAACAACAACAACAACAACAATAATAGTTTTTTAATAGTCCATTTTGGTAGATTCTCCTGAAGACCAAGTCTCTCGAACTTCTCATGCCTTAAAATAGCTAAGGGTTAGACTGGATGGCCCTTGTGGTCCCTTCCACCTTGATGATTCTACTCTGTGGACAACCTGGATTCGTACTATATTGTGTTTACATCTTCACCTAAGCGATTTAACTGGGGGATGCCCCTTACCTGTCCTGGGCAGTGCGCTGAAACCCTTCCGCTCCGCAAACTCTTGGCCCACAAAAGGGGGAGCGTCCACTGCTTCGGTCTGGGGAGGAGGTTCCACTTTGGAAATGGCCGAGTCTGTGGGTGTAAACAAGATCAGAATGGGTTGTGCAAATACTGTGGTAGAACATAGAATCATAGAGTTACACATGAGCCATCTAGTCTGACCCCTTGTCATGTAGGAAAAACACAATTAAAACACTCCTGACAGATGGGCATCCAGCCTATGTTTAAAAGTCTCCATCAGACTCTGAGGCAGAGAGTTCCACTGTTGAACCCAGCTCATATGGTCAGGAAGTTCTTCCTAATGTTCAGGTGGAATCTCCTTCCTTGTCATTTGAACCCATGGCTCCAAGTCCTCTTCCATCACACTCTGAGGCAGAGAGTTCCATTGCTGAACAGCTCATATGGTCAGGAAGTTCTTCCCAGTATCAAGAGAGAATGTCCTTCCTTGTCATTTGAGCCCATGACTCCAAGTCCTATTCCATCACACTCAGAGGCAGAGAGTTCCACTGCTGAACAGCTCATATGGTCAGGAAGTTCTTCCTAATATTCAGGTGGAATCTTCTTCCTTGTCATTTGAACCCACAGCTCCATGTCCTCTTCCATCTCACTCTGAGACAGAGAGTTCCACTGCTGAACAGCTCATATGGTCAGGAAGTTCTTTCTAATGTTCAGGTGGAATCTCCTTCCTTGTCATTTGAACCCATGGCTCCAAGTCCTATTCCATCACACTCAGAGGCAGAGAGTTCCACTTTTGAACAGCTCATATGGTCAGGAAGTTCTTCCTAATGTTCAGGTGGAATCTTCTTCCTTGTCATTTGAACCCACAGCTCCATGTCCTCTTCCATCTCACTCTGAGACAGAGAGTTCCACTGCTGAACAGCTCATATGGTCAGGAAGTTCTTTCTAATGTTCAGGTGGAATCTCCTTCCTTGTCATTTGAACCCATGGCTCCAAGTCCTATTCCATCACACTCAGAGGCAGAGAGTTCCACTTTTGAACAGCTCATATGGTCAGGAAGTTCTGCCTAATGTTCAGGTGGAATCTCCTTCCTTGTCATTTGAACCCATGGCTCCAAGTCCTCTTCCATCACACTCTGAGGCAGAGAGTTCCCCTGTTGAACAGCTCATATGGTCAGGAAGTTCTTCCTAATGTTCAGGTGGAATCTCCTTCCTTGTCATTTGAGCCCATGGCTCCAAGTCCTCTTCCATCACACTCAGAGGCAGAGAGTTCCACTGCTGAACAGCTCATATGGTCAGGAAGTTCTTCCTAATGTTCAGGTGGAATCTCCTTCCTTGTCATTTGAACCCATGGCTCCAAGTCCTCTTCCATCACACCCTGAGGCAGAGAGTTCCATTGCTGAACAGCTCATATGGTCAGGAAGTTCTTCCTAATGTTCAGGTGGAATCTCCTTCCTTGTCATTTGAGCCCATGACTCCAAGTCCTATTCCATCACACTCAGAGGCAGAGAGTTCCACTGCTGAACAGCTCATATGGTCAGGAAGTTCTTCCTAATATTCAGGTGGAATCTTCTTCCTTGTCATTTGAACCCACAGCTCCATGTCCTCTTCCATCTCACTCTGAGACAGAGAGTTCCACTGCTGAACAGCTCATATGGTCAGGAAGTTCTTTCTAATGTTCAGGTGGAATCTCCTTCCTTGTCATTTGAACCCATGGCTCCTGGAATCTCCTTCCTTGTCATTTGAACCCATGGCTCCAAGTCCTCTTCCATCACACCCTGAGGCAGAGAGTTCCATTGCTGAACAGCTCATATGGTCAGGAAGTTCTTCCTAATGTTCAGGTGGAATCTCCTTCCTTGTCATTTGAGCCCATGACTCCAAGTCCTATTCCATCACACTCAGAGGCAGAGAGTTCCACTGCTGAACAGCTCATATGGTCAGGAAGTTCTTCCTAATGTTCAGGTGGAATCTCCTTCCTTGTCATTTGAACCCATGGCTCCAAGTCCTCTTCCATCACACCTCTGAGGCAGAGAGTTCCCCTGTTGAACAGCTCATATGGTCAGGAAGTTCTTCCTAATGTTCAGGTGGAATCTCCTTCCTTGTCATTTGAACCCATGGCTCCAAGTCCTATTCCATCACACTCAGAGGCAGAGAGTTCCACTGCTGAACAGCTCATATGGTCAGGAAGTTCTGCCTAATGTTCAGGTGGAATCTCCTTCCTTGTCATTTGAACCCATGACTCCAAGTCCTATCCCATCACACTCTGAGGCAGAGAGTTCCACGGTTGAACAGCTCATATGGTCAGGAAGTTCTGCCTAATGTTCAGGTGGAATCTCCTTCCTTGTCATTTGAACCCATGGCTCCAAGTCCTATTCCATCACACTCTGAGGCAGAGAGTTCCTGCTGAACAGCTGATATGGTCAGGAAGTTCTTCCTAATGTTCAGGTGGAATCTCCTTTCCTGTTATTTGAACAGCTCATATGGACAGGAAGTTCTTCCTAATGTTCACGTAGAATCTCCTTCCTTGTCATTTGAACCCATGGCTCCAAGTCCTCTTCCATCACACCCTGAGGCAGAGAGTTCCCCTGTTGAACAGCTCATATGGTCAGGAAGTTCTTCCTAATGTTCAGGTGGAATCTTCTTCCTTGTCATTTGAACCCATGGCTCCAAGTACTTTTCTACCACACTATGAGGCAGGGAGTTCCACTGCTGAACAGCTCATATGGTCAGGAAGTTCTTCCTACTGTTCAGGTGGAATTTCCTTTCCTGTTATTTGAACCCATGACTCCAAGTCCTATCCCATCACACTCTGAGGCAGAGAGTTCCACGGTTGAACAGCTCATATGGTCAGGAAGTTCTGCCTAATGTTCAGGTGGAATCTCCTTCCTTGTCATTTGAACCCATGACTCTAAGTCCTATTCCATCACACTCTGTTACAGAGAGTTCCACTGTTGAACAGCTCATATGGTCAGGAATTTCTTCCTACTGTTCAGGTGGAATCTCCTTCCTTGTCATTTGAACCCACGGCTCCTCTTCCATCACACTCTGAGGCAGAGAGTTCCCCTGTTGAACAGCTCATTTGGTCAGTAAATTCTTCCTAATGTTCAGGTGGAATCTCCTTCCTTGTCATTTGAACTCACGGCTCCAAGTCCTATCCCATCACACTCTGAGGCAGAGAGTTCCATTGCTGAACAGCTCATATGGTCAGGAAGTTCTTCCCAGTATCAAGAGAGAATGTGGACGAACCCCATACACAAGGTGGGTCCTGATAGCAATCCAACTGTAGGGCTATCAAAGGAAAAGCAAACACTTACCGAGGGAGGTTAGTGGCTCGTAGTTTCCTTTGGTGATGTTCTTATAGAGTTCTTTTTGCCAGTCTTCCAGGTTGGCCCACTCTTGCATGGAGACGCTCGCTCTGTTGTTGTCGAAGGTGACGGGGACCTGGAAATCAACGGAGCGCCTCAGAGACACATTCTTTGGGTCCACGCCTGACCCAGAAGTCACTTTCAACCACAAATCCCATTGCCCATCCTCCAGAGAGCATGGCTAGTGGATTCTGGGAATTAGAAGTCCACAAAGTAGGGCTCCCGAGCTCTCCAAAACCTACTGACCAAGCATGGTCCAACTTCAGACCCCCCTCCAGGTGTTTTGGACTTCAACTCTCACAATTCCTAACAGCCGGTAATTCACGAGGTCACCGTAGAAGTCAATTTAATTATTTATTATTTATTTGTTTACACTATTTATATTCTGCCCTTCTCACCCCTCAGGGGACTCAGGACGGATTACAATGTACATATACATGGCAAACATTCAATGCCATAGACACACAACATATATAGACAGACACACAGAGGATATTTAACTTTCCAGCTTTCATGGGGGTACTCTGACCACTAGGGGAGCTGTCGCTTCACCATCCTATTGTGACACTGATGGAGTACTTCCTCATTCTTTTGTTTGCTTGCTGGATATTTTTATGGCATCGCAAATTAGTTAAATTAGCCTCCCCACATAAGCGGTACCTAGACAGAAACACAGAGGCTATTTAACTTTCCAGCTTTTTCATGAAGGTATTCTGACCACTAGGGGAGCTGTCGCTTCACCGTCCATTTGAGACACTGATGGAGTACTTCCTCATTCTTTTGTTTGCGTGCTGGAGATTTTTATGGTGTCGCAAATTAGTTAAATTAGCCTCCCCGCATAAGCGGTACCTACATTTTCTACTTGACAGATGCAACTGTCTTTTGGGCTGCAAAGGTCGACAACAAGCTACACAGAATGGTCGGAAGCTCACTCCGACCGAGGCTGGCTTCGAATGCCATAGACACACAACATATATAGACAGAAACACCGAGGCTATTTAACTTTCCAGCTTTGATGAGGGTACTCTGACCACTAGGGGAGCTGTCGCTTCACCGTCCATTTGTGACACTGATGGAGTACTTCCTCATTCTTTTGTTTGCTTGCTGGAGATTTTTATGGCGTTGCAAATTAGTTAAATTAGCCTCCCTGCATAAGCGGTACCTACATTTCCTACTTGACAGATGCAACTGTCTTCCGGGCTGCAAAGGCCGACAGCAAGCTACACAGAATGGTCGGAAGCTCACTCCGACCCGGTCAGTAATGATCTTAATGCAGCTATTGACATAATGATAGTAAAGAAAAGCAAGTTTTCTGGGCACCGAACCTGATATCTCTCCGCCACGCTCTTCCCCTTCTCTTCTGCTCCTTGTGCTCTTACCTTGGGGACCTCTCCTTTGGGGCCGAGCGGGAGGCGCAGGATCCAGAAGTCCCGGTTCTTGAGCAGGTTCTCCAAGTTCTCCACCCGGCGCCGGAGCTGGCCGTACTGCTGGACCAGGCTTCCCAGGGCGGCCAGGCGGTTGCCGACCTCCACCTCCGACTTCTTGCGCTCGAAGACCTTCTTCTCGGTTGCCGCCGATCGGCCTTCTAGGCTCAGCAGCCGCGAGGCGTAGGAGTCCACCTTCCGCTCCACCGCCTGGATGGCGGCCACCACCGTCCACAGGGAAATCTCGGCCGCGGGGTAGACCTCTCTCTCGGCGCTTTGGTCAAAGAGGGTGGGAGGCTGGAAGGGCGGCGGCACGGGCGGCGGCTCCACGTCCCATTCCCAAGCCTGCAAAAAACAGACCCAGAACGATTGGGATCAAATACATTGGACGCCGGAAGAAATCAGAATGGAACCACCAATGGCCCTTCCAGACAGGCCCTCGATCCCCGGATCCGGTCCCAGGTTTTCTGTTTACCCCAGACTAGCCATCCCCTGGCACACGTTGCTGTGGCCCAGTCTGTGTATATATGTTTTGTGTGTGTGTATATATTTGTGTATATATGTGTGTTTGCGTGTATATATATATATATATATACACTAGCTGTGCCCTGCCACGCGTTGCTGTGGCCTATAGTTAAACTTATCAAAGTTGAGGTAGGTATCTGGAGTATTATGAAAGAGAGGTCCCTACCTATTCCTTCCCCCTTTTCCTCCCCCTTTCTCTCCTTTCTTCCTTCTCTACCTCTTTCTTTCTTTCCTTCTTTCACTACTTGGTTTCATCCTTCTCTCTTTCCTTCATTCCCTCCCCCTTTCTTCCTTTGCCTTTCTTCCCTCCCTGTTTGCTTCCTTCTTTCACTTTTTAATTCCCTTTATTTCACCACAATTATAACAATAACAATAATGCAATGCATTGCCTCTGGGACCTGACACCTCTCCCATTCCCCACCTAGGGTCTCAGAAGAATAGTAGCATCATAATAATAGAGATAACAACCTTTACCCGCCAAGTATTGCTGTGGCCAACCTTCCCTCTTTCTCTCCTTCTTTCCCTCCTTCCTTCCTTCCTTC